TCCTCCGTCCATAGAGGCTGATGTTCTGAAGTGTCCTTCACACTGTGTGAGCTTCACACTAACTCTGGTCTCCATTGATCAGCCCTGTGCCAAGTCTGAAGCAGCTGCCCTTGTCTGTTGTTCAGGTCCAGAACTGAGAAGGTTCTGCTGCTCTCAGCTCGTTGTAGAACCATACTCATGCAGGCAGACTAATGGAAACCACAGCTGGACTCACTTTAGTTCTTTGAGGTTCTACTTTGGAGCCTGAATTTTGATTACAGTTTTTATGTAGCATTTCTGTTCATCAGAGGAAATACTCTCCTGTTTCACTGCACAGTAATCTGATTACTGTGAGGGGATACTTTGACATTCTGATATGGGTGTTCTGTACAGACTGTTCCTGTGAATTAGACATGAAAACATCTTGTAGATTGAACTGATTACCTTTACAGCTTTGTCTCTTTGTGCTGCTAATGATTCAATAATCAGGGATGAGGTCACACACAGTGATGATGTCAGCATGTTTTATTACTGTAGAGAATCACAGCAGGAGAAATGATGACATCACAGTTCTACATGGTAACCCCCCCCCCCATAAAACTCAATAAAAAGCACCAATCACTGCTGACCATGGGGTCATGTGACCGGTCGGCAGGCTGCCTACACACAAGGCCTTCTGGGAAATGAAGTTCCTTCTCAGAGTCAGTTACGCGTTTTCAGGACTGCGCTGAAAACACGTACTGGCTGTGGAAGTAAAACCTCGTAACAGAAACAGAAAAACAGAGTTCAAAGATTTGCTCATAAAATCACATCATTAAAATAAAGGCTATTATATGTTAAATGTGGCCCCACCCACTTATATATGACCCGCCCATATATAGCATGTTGCCTAGCCCCGCCCCCTCTTGTGTCACATGTTCATCAGGATTCACACTGAAACCTTGTATCTCCACCACAGTTTTTTTCAAGAGAAGAAATTTCATATTTATTGCCGCAGATATTGACTATTGATTACATTATTGATCATCTTACAGATTTTCTTCAGATTTAATTTTCGTGTATCCAGAACATCTGATCACCGTCTGCATCACAGAAACACTCAGAACACATCTGGAGATACAAGCTTCACCACAACCAGTGTGCTGATGTCACAGGAGGAAGGTGGCGATGATGTCACATTGGTGTGTGTGTGTGTGTGTGTGCGTGTGTGTGTGCGTGTGCGTGCGCGCTGATCAGCGATAAAGTGACTCTCAGAGGACGAAGCGTCCATCGTCTCCATCACATCTGTAACAGACAGACAGGTTGAGATCAGCTGCAGCTCAGTTCCAGGTGTTGATCACAGCAGGCAACTTTCAGGTAACTCACCTGGACAGGAGCTCTGTGCAGCCACTTGTCTTTGTCTCCGCCCACCTTCATACAGGAGAACAGGTCGCACACTGTGGGCAGCGCCAAGCGCTCCTGCACACAGACACAGCCAACACAACGGCATGGTTCAATGATTAGCCATCAGCTGCTGATTTAATCTCCAAATACTTCGACCATCAACAGATTAATGAAAGTATTCCTGGTCACCATGGTTACCTGAGCCTGACATCTCTTTCTCAGCAGCCATTTGTCCTCCTCCTCCTCAGCAGGAACCGGATTCTTGACCGGGAGAACCCAGAGGTCTGGATCCAGGGGCCGCTCGAACAAGGAGGACGAGGTAGACGAGGAGGACGAAGGCCTCCTGACAGCGTCCTCCTCAGCCGACACCCAGCCGGACAGGGAGGAGCTGAGAGGAGCCCTGCAGCTGGAGGTAGGGTGAAGCCACGCCTCCAGGATGGCCTGCACCTGAGGAGACACCAACGTTACCTGCCGCCCTTCATCCACCTGCATCATCAGCTTCAACTCTGACTGGCTCTTACCTTCTGCTCCTGCTCTCTGTGGAACAGGGTGGGCGGGGTGTTCTTTGCAGTAGGCGGGGCGTTCTTTGTAGTGGGCGGGGCATTCTTTGCAGTGGACGGGGCGTTCTTGGCCACAGGGACTCCATTCTTGTCACGACCATCCTGCTGCAGCAGCCAGCGGCTCAGTGCCTCCCTGCCGCAGTTGTCATCACAAACGCATTCGGAGTAGGTGGAGCACGTCTCGTTGGCTTTGCAGGTCTGTTGCAGCGGCGCTGCCTGCTGCAGCCACGCCTCCAGGCTTGTTGCCGGCGCTGCCGCAGGGGAGGCTGGTCCAGAGGCGGGTCCGGAGGCGGTTGGGGTCTTGAGGCACTTGAGCTGGCCAAGGTTCTCGATCTCCAAGGCGCGGCTCGTCTGGCAGCAGGAAGTGCAGTTTGGCCGGCTCGCCTCCGACAGCCACTCGCTGGACGACCAGCCATCCTCAAACGGCTTAAGTACCCGCCGCCATCGCTCGGCATCTGACACGGTCTCCATGGCAGCGGCGGGCGGGGTGATGAGCCAGTCGCTCAGCTCCCCGTCCTCCTCCTCGTAGGCGGTGATGTCTGATTCGTCGATCTTCTCAATGGAGAAGGCTGAGCTGCAGCTGCTGTTGGTCCGCTCTCTGATGGCCGGCGTTTCCTGCAGAAGCCACGCCTCCAGGTCCCTCAGCTGCCCCCATGCTGACAGGAAGTCCACTGACAGCAGGGCAGGGCAGGAAATCTGACAGACACAGCACATTAGTATGAACGCCATCATCATCATAATCACCCGCTCAACACCTGAGTTCCACCTCACCTTGTTCTCCTGCTGCGACAGCAGCCAATCCTCAGGGTTCTTGCTGGACTGGTAGCCAATAGGGATGCAGCTGTTCACTGGGCGGTGCCCCAGCAGCCAGTCACCCAGAGCTCCACCCTCCATCTGCTGCAGATACAGACTCAGTGAGACCCAGCAGAACCAACAACTGGTTCTGGGACATACACTCAGGTCAAGATTAGCTGATGATGTTAGCAAGATGTTAGCATGACATCCGTTTGACTTCAACATAATGCTAGCATGTTGTTGCCAAAAAATCTGCATGATGTCAGCATGGCGTTAGCTTGCTACTTGTGCAATGTTAACATTGCGTAACATAATGTTATTATGACGGCATGTTATTATGTTAGCATATTAACATGACATGAACATGATGTTAGCACAACATTTGCATGATCACAGCATGACATCAGCTTGGTTTCAACATAATGTTAGGATGCTGTTGGGCAGAAATCAGCAGGATGTTAGCATAGTGTTAACCTGGCGTTAGCATGATGTTACTACAATGTTGGTGTGATGTATACATGATCGTAGCATGGTATTAGTATGATGTTAGCATGATGCTAACAATTTCAGCATGACATTACTTAACATCTTCTCTCAGACAGAAACTTTCCCGCCTCGGTCCTTTGGTGTCTGCAGCTTACCTGCTTCTGGGCTGTGATTGGACAACTCTGCACCTGGGCTCTGTGATGGGCAGGACTCTGAGAGGACACGGCCTCCAGCTGCAAACAGAAAACACCGGGTCAGAATGAGCACACCAGTCAGAGCTGCCTGCACATAGATCACTTGGTGGAGCTGTTACCTGAGATGTGATGCTGCCAAATGAGGTGATGGCCTGTCGCAGAGAGCGGACGTCGGCATGGAAACGCATCTCAGGTGTTTCCTCAGGTGTGAGACTGAGAGAAGACAACCTGTCAAAATAAAGGGCAGTTGTCATACAAAAGAGAAGCCACAAGTCAGCCACACTGTGCTCAGGGTGTTTGTGAGTCAGTCTGTGTTTGTGCTGCAGTGTTTCACTGACCAACGTCTGAACAGAGACTCTCACATGAAGGTTTCTGTGCGTTCAGGTTTGAACATGTGTGTAATAACAGACAGGTGAGATGTGTGCTTACTTCTCCATGCAGCTGGTCAGCTGGTTGTTCAGGTCGTTGCTACTGTTGGAGTTCTGCAGCTGATGAGTGATCACATCGAACTGACCTCTGAGCTGCAGCACAGAGCACAAACAGGCGGTGAACAGGCTGTGAACAAGCACTGCAACTGCAGAAGACTTTCATGATCAGTGAATCAGCTCGTTTTCATCCTGATCAATCAACGATTACTTTGATCAAACCGGAGAAAACATCTTTAGAATCTCATCTGATTTAAACACCACAGCAGGTGAACCTTTAAACTAACTCCAGCTGTTATTGATCATCTGTCAGCCTACGGGTCAGCTGACTGACTGTAACCTTCTGCTGGGTTCGCTCAGTGACCAGTAGAACCAGTAGAACCACTTACCTGGTACAGCTGGTGCAGCTGCTGCTGTAGAGTTTCAGTGTTGACTTGCTCCAGCAGCTCAATCTGACCAAGCAGCCAAATCTCCCTGCAGCGCAGCGCCTCCTGCTGGCGGCTCACACAGCTCTGCAGCTCCGAGCGCACCTGAGAGAGGGGAGACAGGTGGGACAGGTGGGAGGTTAGTGTCCACAGAGACCCTCACAGGTCTGAGTAGATGCTGACATGGACATCGGATACTTCAGTAAATACAGAGAACAAGAAGTGGCTTCATGTAACACCGGATGTTTGTGATGAAGTTCGCAGACGATGAAGACGTAGAAAGACGTGGACGGAGAAGAACTTAGATGAACTGAGATCACAGAAACATTCCACTGAATGAGGTCTCATAAAAACAGAAGAATGTTCAGCAGAACAAAGGATTACTGAAGCATTGTAGCTCAAAGAACATTTAACTCACCTGTCCTCTGCCCAACACCTGTCCTCTG